CTCCACCAACAATGCATTAGTATTCCAATTTTCCCACATTTTCTAGGGCAGGAACTCTTTTTAGCTTTCTTTGTATCCCCAGGACTTAAGACAGTGCCTGGCACATAATAAGTGCTTAACAAATGCATATCTACCTGATTATTATGATTATGATTATCCCTAAAGTGGGATGGCTCTTAAATGTCAGTCCATATAATCTCATATCTAAATCTAATCGTTATATGTGAAAGTCCCAAATTTTTTAAAGTGGTATTTTATAATTTGTGGAAGAGACCTTCCCCTCTATAAAAGAACGACTGGAGAGGTCCCATATGGTATATATACAAACACTCTAGCTTACAGACAGTTACAGGATGATAAGCCTTCTGTCTGGTTGGAGAAGGTAGAGAAATTCACTTGGTTGACATTTTAAAGGTTAATGCAACAAAAAATAGGCCAACTAGTTGGGACCAGGTTGTGATATACTTGGTTGGAGATTATAGATTGAAAGCTTGAAGGGACCTTGTAAGCCCTGAGTCCACCCTCCTCACATTTTGCAGATTTTAAAATTGTGGCCCAGAGAACTTAGTGGATCTACCTGAAAAAACAAAGAGATGACCAGTAATGAGATCCCTCTCATTAGATCTTCATCTTAGAGCCACAGATCAACAGATGACTTGCAGACTTGAAATTAATTTTCCAGATTTAAGAGAGCTTCCCTCTAACACATTGAACAAAGACTGAACCTTCTATGAATATTACAACTCAAGAGATTTGTGCATACTCTGGACCTCAAAGATTGGTTAGTTGAGGCTATTATGACTGCTGGTGTCTGCCAGTCAGTTGACAAGCAGTTATTAAGCTCCTGTTATGTGCTAGGCACTGGAATTTAATGCATCCATCTATAAATTAAGATTAATGTTAAAATTTGATTAGACAAGAAATGGTGCTTAGTTTTATTATTTCACTTAAACCTTAAAGCACTATATAAATGCTATTATTATTTTATTGTTATTATTATCATTATTAATTGTGCTGCTTCATACCAAGTCAGTCTCCTGATTAGTGTTTGTCTTTTCTGGGCCACTTTTTATAACTTTTAAGAAAATATTTTGTAGTTCAAAAGAGACTGCATGTTGTTGTGGATAGAGAACAGGCCTTAAAGCCAGGAAGACCTGGTTTCAAATTCTGTCTCTGACACGTTCTTAGCTATATGTGACCCTCTGGGCAAGTCACTCGGCATCTCAGTGCCCTAGGCCATTTGTGAAGACTTTAAGTTTCAGAGAAGGTACTGACCTGCATTTGTAGAGGGAATTTCCTCACTGGAGAGTTCCCTGTACCAGTAAATTCACAAATGTAGTCCCTAGTCCCATCCCTATACTGCAGTTAAATGTGTACATGAGCAGTGGTTTGTAAGAAGTCCTGGGCCTATATGGACAGTAGATGAGGTGACAGGTAGCAGTGAGAACCTCTTTGGATTACTATTCTATCATTTCTTCAACCTCCAGTTTCTCTTTCTGTTTCTTGATGTCAGGCCTCCAAAACTTGCTGAGCGTTGCAGGGGATTAGGTCAAGTTCAGAATAATCTCCTATTAGCTCCCCTTCCCTTGAAAAGGACCCTAATTATGCCAAAGCAAGTTTAAGGCCCCATCTTTCCATCATTGCTGGGCCTGACTAGGAGTGAGATTGTGCCCAAGAATGTATTTTTGGCTGTACTTGTGCGTGACTGGTAGTGTATTTCACAAGTTCCCAATGATTATGCTACCTGTGGGATTTCAAAAGCAGAGTGGAGTGGGTAGTTCTATTCAGATATAAACATACCAAGCAGTATTGCTTGCCTTGAAATTGTGTTTGTCTTTATGTGGGTTTCCTGAGCCTAATTACAGAGCCAGGTCCTGGGCACCTGCCCCAAAATTGGGGTGGATGAATAATGAAGCATGGCGTATTTTCCCCTGTGCATGCTTTGCATCAAGTTTTTGGTGCACCTTTCTGAATGCTTCCTTTTATACTTCCCATCCTTAATACTTTTGACTGTCTACTGGCAGACACAAAGGAATTTTTCAGAGTCATCTAGGTAGGGAATAGACAATGAATTTTTCATCTTATGCACACTTTAGGTTTCTCTTTGACAAATTTTAACAAGGTCAAACAGCAATAGGTTAATGACACTTTTTTTTTAGCAGAAATATATTATCAACTTTGGAGTTTAGTTTGAATTACCTTTTGCCCCTTGATCCTTGCTAAGAGGGTGATTAAATACCCAAGAGTCCTAAAAGGCCATAGAATTTAATGAGTTTACTCACTCACTAACCTACATTTTCATCATGCTTAAGCCCATTGATGTGTTTTTTTTTTTAATTAAACCCAATTTAGGGTTGTTTTAGAATTCCAGTTAACACCAGAGATGAGAGTCTGTGGCTAATATTACAGCTTTCCCATTGGCTAAAGCAGCAGCTTCCTGGAAGGACTCAATTTCATTCTTATTTGGAGAGAGGAGGAGAGTATTGTCTATGGCATTTTAAAGCACAGGTGATAGTTGGTTTGTCAGGGTGGAAGCCCTTATACTTTTCCTCCCAGGGACCAGAATTGGGAGGAAATGATAATAATAGCAAGCAATCCCAGGAAAGTGATTTCTCAGGAAGGGGGGCGTTGAGGCAGGAGTGGGAGTTGGGGGAATTTCACGTGACCACATGGTAGGGACCTAAGACATCATCTAGTTTAACCCCCTTATTCTGCAAAGTACTTTTCCCAAGGTTACACAGCAAATTAGTGAGCAAGCCAAGAATAAAACCTAGGGCTTCTGACCTATTCTAGTTTACATGTCAGACCAGAAAATCACTTAGTGTGGTGTATTTCAATAATGGTTTGGAAACAATTACCATAATTTCTAAGGCTGTACTGCTTAAGGGACTTGATTGGTGACCTCCTTCAATTGTCCTAAGGCTGGTGGTAATCGCCTTGAACTAAGATGGATCCTTTTGTTAACAGCAGCCTCTTCCAGGACTTCTTTAGGGAAGCAAGAAAATATAACCACATTCCCAAGCCCAGGAGAGAAATCATGTTTAGAAAGTGGGTAGAAATTTCATGTTCCTCTTTATCCCATGTGACCCTAACAGAACTTGACTCTTGTATCCTCAAATAAACCTCTTATGTGACCCTCATAAAAAGTCACCACCACCCTTATTTTTTTATCCCGCTAGTGAAGAAGACTCAAAGTTTGTACTCCCTCTTTTTTCTGAGCAAGGGAGCTCCCCAGAAGAGGACCACTTTCTTTGTGCTGCAGGAATTTCTGTTGAACCTGGAGATTCTTGGTTGAGAATATAAGGTCGACTAAGTTGTCTACCCTTCCAAGGATCTGGAGAGAGCACCTCTTTTTTTCTTCTTCTTCAGGAAACTGGAGGGGAAAGCCCTTTATTCCTTTCCTAATACTTTTCCATTAAGAGGCAGAGTAACTTCACCATTTCTAGTCCAACATAGAACAAACCTATCAGATCTTGCTGGAGAAAGGGAAAGATGTCACCATATTTGCAGCTCACTTGAAGAGGCAGGCACAACTATTTTATACACCTACGCCTATGAGCAAGCCCTAAGTACCACCACCCCCCCCCCGCCATGATGCCTGTAACCATCCAGAAGGACAATCTAAGTACTTATGTCAAGTGTCTGCTGACTCATTTTGGGAAAGGTCAGGGAGAGAGTTAAGTCCTTTCTCCTCAGTGTTTTTTTTATCGTAAGTAGTACTTGCCTGTTTCATAATTAGGAAATAGTATAACTCTTGCATAATCATTGGTGAGTTAAAATTTACTAACAGTGAAATATTCAAAACAAATGGTTCTCTCTCAATCTCTCTCTCTCTCTCTCTCTCAGTTTGGAGATAGTATAGTTTACTTGTCAGATCTATGGAGAAGGGAAGAATTTATGACCAAACAAGAGATAGACAACATTATGAAATGCAAAATGGATATTGTACAAACAAAACCAGTGCAACCAAGATTAGAAGGAAAGCAGAAAACTGGGAAATAATTTTTATAGTTAGTGTTTCTGATAAAAGCCTCATTTCTAAAATATATGGAGAACTCAGTCAAATCTGTAAGAATATAAGTCATTCCCCAATTAATAAATGGTCGAAGGATATGAACAGGCAGTTTTCAGAGGAAGAAATTAAAGCTATCTATAGTCATATGAAAAAATGCTCTAAATCACTATTGATCAGAGAAATGTAAATTAAAACAACTCTGAAATGATCCAGCCATTTTGGAGAGCAGTTTGGAACTATGCCTGATAAACTGTGCATAAACATTGATCTAGCAATATCATTATTGGGTCTGTATCCCAAAGAGATCACAAAAAAAAGAGAAAAGGACCCACATGTACAAAAATATTTATAGCAGTGCTTTTTGTGGTGGCAAAGAATTGAAAATTGAGTGGATGCGCATCAATTGGAGAATGGCTGAACAAGTTGTGGTATGTGAGTGTAATGAAATACTATTGTGCTATAAGAAAAGATGAGCAGGTGGATTTCAGAAAAACCTGGGAAGACTTGTATGGACTGATACTGAATGAAGTGAGCAAAACCAGGAGAACATTGTATATAGCAACAGCAACATGTGTGATGATGAATTATGATAGACTCAGCTCTTTTCAGCAATACAGTGATCCAAGACGATTCCAAAAGACGTGATAGAAAATGTTAACTACATCCAGAGAAAGAACTATGGAGTCTGAAGGCAGATCAAAGTATACTATTTTCACTTTTTTTTGTTTTTTCTTTCTCGTGGTTTTTCCCTTTTGTTCTGATTCTTCTTTCACAACATGACTAATATGGAAATATGTTTAACATGATTGTACATGTATGACCTATATCAGATTACTTGTTGTCTTGGGGAGGGGAGAGGGAGGGAGAGAGAAAAATTTGGAACTCAATTTTACAAAAATAAATGTTGAAAACTATCTTTACATGTAATAGGGAAAAAATGCTATTAGGGAGGGAAAAAAAGAAAAGAAACTGCCCCTTGACACTTTGACTGACACTGACTCTATTTGTATGGTATGTTGTTTCAGTGCCTTACGGCGTGGGAGTCGATTATACCGCTGCTACAAGAGAAGCAAGAGACCAAATAAGTTCCTTCCAACAAAGAGACCTTTCTGTCTACACCAGTGCACAATGCCTCTCACTGGGAAGTCCACTTACTGACTGGCAAAACACCACCTGGTTAGGTGGCATTTGGAAACCAATCCACTGAAACATTTGTGGCTTTTTTTCTTGCTTTCTTTTTTTTTCCTCCTCAGTCCTTGACCCCATTCTTGTTTCATATTAATATTTTCTTCCACTGTGTATTCCTTCTCTATTTCCTGGTGGGACCCTGAGTGCCTGGTGGATTCTATATGGATTTCATCATCACTTATTAAAGGAGACATACTTCCATCTCTTGAAGGGACTTATGCAGTAGAATACGAAGAAGATTTCAGAGGAAAGGAAAAGTGCCACTGTCCCTGCATTCTAATAGGAGAGAATCTGGCTCCTGCTTTGTGATCCAGAAAGGAAGGAAGAACTTAGCGCCTGTACACTCCTTCCACATTTGCAATGGGATTTTTTGTGGGTGTTAGCTTGTCCTAGGTAAAAAAAGGTGGTGTTGACATTTCTGCCTAAAGTGCGTGAAGCAAGCATGGCCTAAAGCTGTGAATGTGGCATGCTGTCTGCTCGTGATGAGTAGTATTATGTATGTTGTTCCTTTTTGGTGATATGAAGTCAATTTAAATCAGCTGAAGTGTGTGTGTGTATACATATATATGTGTGTATACATAAAATATGTATATAAGCTTATATAGGTATATGTACATATATGTATACATATATACACACACGTATATACTGAGAGGGTCAGCAAGGAGATTAGATTTATACCATAGCCTTATAAAATTATTAATTGAACCTGTTTTTGGCATTAGAATCAGCGATTTGAAATTGAGTACCAAATGAAGAAGGTACCATTAATGCTCCCTGACATTCTTTGTATGTCCTTTTTTTTTTCCTTATTAAATGGAATACTGGTAGTGAATAAGGAATACGCAGTGCCCCAAAGCTGAGATATTAAAAGTGCTTTTAGGCTGAGGAGCACATCACATTCCTCCTGTATCTGCTTTGTGAAACTTGCCTTTAACACAGCTAAAGAACTAGTATAATATTTTCTACTGTGTAAATCAAATGTCAGTGTAGCTTTTGAAGGGTTTCTTATCTGAGACGGAGAGCTTTTGTTTTCTTATCCAGTCAGTCTAAATTTGTAAAAAAACAAACAAAAATAGTGCAGGTGCTCTCTATGAAGCACTTGACCTCCAGCCTTTCTCCTTGGTAAGGAAAGGCACTGTTCTTGAGGTCATGTGCTCAAAATAGAACCTCTTTTTTTTTTTAAAAAGCTAGCTAAGTTAGCCTTTAGATAACTTCAATAGCAACCAGTCCTAAGTATTCCAAGATTAGCTTTAAAAACAAAAACAAAAACAAAAAAATAAAAATGAGAAGTTCCCTTTCTTAAGAAAAACAGATCCTTTTTCCAGATCAGACTTGTACATCTTTGCAAACTGTATATTTTTCTTCCCTTGTTCCTCTAATGGATGTGTATGTTTTCTCTCACCTGTGGTTTTGTCCTTACGAAATCTAAGACAGGCTTCAAGTTAGCTACAGAATTTTCAGGAGCTAGATGCTCTAAAATATCACTTTATAAACAGAAATTAATATTTAAAATACTGGTCAACATTTACCAGGTAACATTTAAAGCAGTTAATTTAGGTTCAAAACCACTCCTGAATGACTGTCTGTAGTGTTTGTGTGTCAGATAATCTTAAAATTAATGTTGTTGGTTCATCAGTTAAACTGCTTGGTATGTTTTGGTCCTATTTTGCTGTGTCTAGTCCTTGTTTTGTCCAAGAAATCATGGGAGAAGTTTGTTGTTTTTTTTTTTTTTTTTCAGCCAAATCTTTGTCTCTTGGTACTGCCTACCCTGATAGAGCCCCATTAACATAATGCTTAAATCCTTTGATGTGAATTTTTACTTTGGTACATAGAGTTCTAAACAATATTTCTAAGTGAATGGCACCATGAATGGCAATTCAGCATATCATTCTACCTCTAAAAACCCATCTTTTTGATGCCGGGATTTTGTTATGTATCTGGGTCCTAGTTTGTTAGAGTTGATGTACATTTCATAGTGATACTTGACTCATCTTCTTTCATAGAAGTGAGAATACTTGAGATTGATTCAGTGAAAGAAAAAAAAATCAGTTTTGGAGAAAGCAAGGGCTTTCCTCCATGGAAGAAGTGCTCTTTAAAAATTAAGTTCTGTTACTGACTAGGAGGAAGGGACGTTGGAAAAAGAGCTGCAATAAGAACCAGTATCTGACCTCCTGCTATCTTGCCAAAGCATGACAGTGCCCCTGTGTGATGTAATGATGAGGTAGGGGGTTGGGAGGAGGGCTTCCTCAAAATTAGTTGTCCCTGGACAGGAAGGAGGGAAAAGCTATCCTTCCCAAGATCCTTCCCCCCTCTCATTTAGCTGAGTGTGGTAACAAGGGACTCTTCTCTGAAGGGATGTAGCAGTCTTTGGACTCCAGATTTTTTTCATTTTGATTTGGTCACTTTATAATGCACAAAAATGTAACATTTATACATCAGAATTTATCAGCTTCAGAATGCCAAGTAGAGACTAGAGAGAGGCAAGCTTTGCCCTAGCTACCAAGGGCATGTACCAATGAAACCACCACCAGCTACTGTGGAAAGATTTGCTCAGAGAGGCGTCTGTGTCCCTTTGATTTGGGAAGGAGTTTTCAGTGGTAAAATGAATAAGAAAGGCCTAGGAGCAGGGGTGGGGAACCTACCAAGGCCCTATGTGGCCCTCTAGGTTCTCAAGTGTGCCCTTTGACTGAATCCAAACTTCACAGAACTTCCTTTTACTAAGGGAATTTATTCTGTGAAGTTTGGATTCCGTTAAAAGGCACACTTGAGGACCTAGAGGGCCACATGTGGCCTGGAGGCCGAAGGTTTCCCACCCCTGGGTGGTCTAGGAGTCATAGTATAAAGGATAGATAACAAAGCCCCTCTTGTACTGACTGCCTCCTCCTTCCTCCAACTTCTCAAGTCCTTTACCTTTTCCCCCCTCCTAATCATAACTGTGCACCAAATGTTGTATTTTTGGTCAATACAGGGAATATTTTCATTTGAGATGTGTGAATTTGTGCCAAAGAGGTTTAATGCTCAAAATACCTTCCTAATGCAGGCCACCACTACCCTTTCCCCAAAGTCTCAGGCCTAATATGGCTATATCTCTTTTGTTGTTCTTTCTCTCCCCTACTCCTCACCTGACTTTTGTTTCCAGGAGTTTGGAGAAGACTGTCCTTCTCTAAGTAGAATAGTCATGCTGTGCAACAGAAAAGTTTAAGAGGACGATGGGTTCTCTGACCTGAGTTTCTAATTTTTCATTATCTACTTTAAAAAAAATCCTGATGACAGGAGTACATTTTATGAAATAAGATAGTCTTTAAGGACATATGCTGTAAACAGATTTTTCCACTGACTATCTTCATGGTTGTCTTAGTATAGCATAACCACACTAATCTGTATTTTTACCTTTCTACCATTGTATCAGAGATCAAATAGTCATTCCTCTATGGGGGGTGGAAAGAGGTGAAGGTGGAGATGAGTGGGAGAGAATACCATAAATGTCCAAATTTTCCATTGATTTCTCCAAAAAAGCATTATTTTTATTAATTAGGTCACTTATAAGGCTCTTTAAGATACTACTGTGGCTAAGCTCAACTCTCACCTTTCTTTTGATTCAACAATAGAAAAACCAGCATGTCTTTAGGGGGACCATTTTTAGTACATATAAAACAGGTTTCTTTTAGTGTGAAGTCATAGTACACCCAGATTTTCTAGACATTTTTGAAGTGGAGGCCATGTCCTGACCCATCATCAGCCCCTTCTCTATTTCCCTTTGAGAAAGGAGAGGACAGATCTTGACAGCCTGAGTGAGGCTGCCTTTTATCATGAGATGGCAGGAACTGGAAGAGGTGTGGCAGGGCCCTGTGTACATGGTCATAGGAGGAATTTCTAGCTCGGGCAGTTGAATAGAATAATAGTTCAGCCTGAATAGCACCCCAGACTTAAATTACCTGGTATTGCTACTTAGAACATTGAAGAGCTCAGAAACCACAGATAAATGATCTTTGTTCACATAGAAATTTATAGGCCCCCTCTGCTGGAGCTGGTGAATGGCATGAGTATGGTCTCAATGGTAGAAAACCCAAGGAAGGGAGGGCCATTATTAAGCAATGTGTAATTCTTTTCTATGGCTCTGGAAGGCCCTTCCTACTCACCCACTTTCCTTGCTTTAGAGGGCTTGAGTGTTGGAAGGAGGAAAGGGTGGAATTTGTCGCAGATCTAACTAGAATTAATGACTAGGTACAGAGCTACCCAATGAGGTCCCTTCACTTTAATGCTGACTTTCCCTCTTGTGCTTCTAAACTGGCTGACATACCAGCCCTAGGGATTCACCTACTCATGCCACCTCTATTGACTGTCCCATGGCAAGAAGGCAATTTTTCTTAGCTGGCTGCTCAAACTACTTTGCCAGGTCCCTGTTTCTTATGGGGAAAGTGTGCTCCAAAGTTTTGGATTAGCTTTCTCACAATGTACCAGGTTATACCATTCATCTCCTCTTACCTCTGTTTCTCCTAATTCTTAGGAATGGCAGGAGATTTTACCAATAAACTTTTTTTTAGGAACACAAGTCTCTTTTGTCTAAATCTGTATCTGGGCAGTGACATTATAGCAGTTCTTCCTATGTCCCTACAAATGATCTCCTTGTAAAGGGAAAAGAGTACCACCTGACGTCCCAACAAACCACTCAACAAAACAGGCTGCCCTTTGGCTTAAAAGTGGTTGACCAACCTAGAGATTGTGAAGCCTACAATCCTGGAACATTTGTTGTGCCATACATAGGTAGGCAGCATCTACACTGGGCAGATACACCCTTATGACAGCTAAGTTTCAACAACTTTTTAATCCTATATGTTAGAAACGTATTTTTGACACAAACATCCAGCCCTACTCAGTTTGGCTGATAAAACTACTCCAGATCATGATCACTGATATGAATAAGCCAGTAAATCAGTGTTTTAATCAACACTAAGTAGAATATCAGGTTATTTGTATAGTATAGATACAATTTACAAATATATCTTACGATAATGATCAGACATGGCACGAAATCAGCAAGTTCAAGTTGAGGTTTTCTGTTTTTTTTTTTTAGTGGTGCAAATTGCTAAATATTAACTGCACTCTTGGAAGCTGTGATGTATCCAGACACTTTGATGCTTCTAGCAGTGTTTTTTAAATGAGTATAAAGTCCTAGTTGTCTTCTATTTGAACAGTTGATACAAGATGACCAGTTGCCGCCTTTTCAAGAAATAAATTAAACTGGATCAACGGAAAACAAAGGGGCATAATGGGGACTATCCTTTTTTAAGTGGTATTTTAAAAATGTTAAGTGTTGCTTTTGCCAAATATATTTTTATTATTACCATGGAGGAGGGGAGGGGACGCCAGGGACCATAAAAGCATTGTTTCAAAATGTACATGGTTAACAATTTAGTGTATTTTAGGTATTTTTTAAATTGTAAGAAATATAGGATCAATACTGAAAATCATACTGCATGTTAGTCTTTTCAAGTCTATTTGATAAAAAGAAATTCTCAAATTATAACAGTATTAAAGACATGCCCTAATGCCATAAAGAGACTTTTTAAAATATCATGGACACGTAAGAACAAAGTTTTAGATCTGAATCCTACAGTTTCAGTGCCAAAAACAAGAAGTGCTGTTTTGGCTTGACTATTGAATGCTCTTTCCTTCTCATTTTTAGCAAAAAAAAGAAATAATTTGTTAAAACTGTGGGTGAAGGGTACTGCATATACATTTGTTCATTGCTGCCATTTGGCTTTCACTGGGTGAACCTGGGAACCAATGTTGCTACAACCTAGTACGTAATTTCCCTTTTGGTGGAGCCTCTAAGGTAAGGGTAGATCAGAGCACTTGACCTCTTAACATCCCCTTCGGCATTTTTCTTTTTTGCTTTCACTAAATAGGATCTGTAACATCTTCTGTTGCTTTGACCAAACTTTCAGAGTAACTACTACCAACAACTAAAACAGGTGTAAGGGGACAAGTAAAGGAGAACAACATTTCATTCTTTCCTGTCTCCTTCAAAATGGTGGGTAAGAAGAATGTTGGGGGTGGGAAGAGGAATCACAGTTAATATGATAAACTGTGACCCATATAGCTGTATTACTAGCTATACATTCTTGTATAACAAACCAGCATCTCTGAACAGTGATGTTTTGGGGCAGTGTAGAAGCACCCGATACCCAAGTGATCTTGGTTATGTCCATTGTACTTCCTATGTGCCTGTCAGTTATAAATGCATTGGGAAGATATATACATATATATCTCCTTGAAATAAATTTCTGCCAGCAGACTTTTGGATCTAGATTTTAACTGTTTCAGTAGAGGGATGAAAATTTTATTTAGGTTGTATCAACTGACCAGCTATCCAGACTATGTACTGTATTGCTTATTTCTGACTTTTAGGGGGAAAAATGTTTTTAAAACCCACTCGGATCAAAACTGTAGGGAATTTCCTCACTAAAAAGTTGTGGGGTTTTTTGTTTGTTTTCCTCTCTACCCCTGCTACCAATAAACCAAAACAAAAGCTGTGAAAACTTGTGAGCTTGGGAGAGCATGTGTATAGATTAGCTGTGAGCATGATTCAAACAATGGAGGGGTTTGTTTCCTGTAGATATCACACTTTAAACAGGGTGCCTCCCCCTTTTTCTTTGTTACCAACACCATGGGTGTGAAGTTTTGTTTACTTTCCAATGCTGGCACAAATGTGTTGGTTCACCTTTTTTCATATATCTGTATAGACCTATTCTGTTTCTTGTTTACTGTGGGATTAGTATTATACTATGAGATAAACAAAAATAATTTGTATTGCCTGATGAACTATTAGCTTGTAAATTTTTTTAAGTTTCTTTACCTCAATTAATTTAAAGGTATGGACAAATAAACATATAAATAAGACGCTCTTGTTAGCTTGAACATTTTGTTTTGCTTTCTGCTTTCTTTATAGAACTGAAAGATGGATCTTTCTTTTAGTTTCTTCCTTTAAAAAGAAATCAGTTAGCCACTTGTTCTTCCCTTTCACCTCCCTTCCCTTGCCTCTCCAAAAAACCCTCAAAGAAAAAACTGTGGTTCTTTTAATCCCTTTCCTCCCCACCTTCACCCTCCCTTCAGTTACTTTGCTAGCATAACTCCTCTGCTAGATGAGAATAATGTAAGCTATTTTACAGAACTAACACTAGTTAGTTTTCCCTAACTGTAACAAGCTGTATGACGTATGGCAACAACATTGAATTTAGTCTAAAGACCTGGACTCTAGTTCCAGCTCTGCCTCTTTCCAGCTATGTGACCTTGGAGAAGTCATTTAATCACAATGGACCAATTTTCTCACATGTAAAATGAAGCATTTAACAAACTTCCTCACTGAGTTGTTATGAGGATCAAATGAGAATGTATGTGAAAATGATTTGTTATTATAAAGTATTGCATACATATGAACATGTAATCCTTAAACTTTGACAATTTGATATGTCAACATCTAGGCCCCAAATATTTTAAAAATATATAATGATGATTATAGTAAGCATTTGTATGGTTTTTTAAAGTTTGCTGAGCACTTGAAAAATATCTCATTTTATCCTCAAAACATCTCTGAGAAGCATGTTCATTTCTTATCCCAATTTTGCAGATGAGGAAACTGAGACAGAGGTTAAGTGATTGGCCTGGGATTGG